CAGTGACCCTAATCTTTGGAGCTGTCACGCATGTTCTTCTTTTCCATTCAAATATTAAGTGCTTTCTTTTGAGTTTTCAGTGTTTTTAATCTGGTTTTCCTTTTCTTTTGTCCCCCCAGGTATGCAACAGCTGCCCCAAACTGTTTGCCAAGCCGCATCACTTACTTCCTTCAGTCCCTCCAAATAACCACTTCCTCTATCTGCTAACAAGACCATGAGAAGACAAGACCGCCCATGTTTACAGAATCAATGAACTATTTGCACATATAACAAACTAATCCTTTCTTTTTCCCCATTCCCACTATGGTGTTTGTGCTTCCTTTCTCCTTTTGATCTTCTTTTGAATCCCCTCTGCTGTTGAGTTTGGGTGCTGGCTGTTCTGGGCTAGGACAGTTGTGCTGCTTGGTCCGTGAGACACAAGAAACCCATCTCCAAGTTCCTGAGAAGCAATATGTTTACCAGTCAGTAATGAAGCCAAATCCACCTAAGACTAGCAACAGGAACAACCACTATGTCAAATAGTTGTCTACTGGGAGTTTTTTGCACAGTTTGTCTAGGAAAAGGATGCGGAATTCTTAGAATAACGAAGCCTCTTGGCCAAACTTTGAAGATAACCCTGCTCTAAATTGGGGGTTGGACCAGATGGCCTCCAGAGGCCCCTTCCAAGCTAAATATTTCTGCAAATCTGCAGGTTTATATCCTGTTCAAACGTTGCTGTTTAGCAGTGCTGTGCAAATGCAGGTTCTTGCATCCACCAAACCCCAACCATGACCTGAGATAGTTTCTCTTTGCAAAAATCCAATGTAGGGTCCCATTATTTATCTGTTACCTGAAATACATTGTAAATACAAGTGGAAAGAGGACCTCTAAAGTTCTGAAGAGCTTCAGAAATGGAGAATTTAAGATGGATTTTCCCTTATTTTCTATTCTTCCCCCTATGGCCAAGCTTGCATTCCTCATTCTCTGAGAAGGTTTGTGCAGTTTAACAACGATCAGTGTATGACCACTGACTCTTGGCTTGAGTCTGTGACAAAAGCCAAAAGATTACTCTGGTGGTTTGGGAGTTACAGTAGGTGACTTGTAGAGCTTAAACATACTGTCAGGGTCTTGTTACCCTGCTAAAGAGGTAGCATGTTGAAGGATGCACAGAGGACCGAAAAAGATGGCTGTGTTTACTTTCTACTGCATGCTTTTGCAATATCTATTAAGGCAGAGATACTCATAAGGCAGTCTAGGGGAGTTCAGGGCAACTCAGCAGGACAGGCCAAGGGGAATGGCTTTAACCTGCCAGAGGGGAGACTGAGATGAGCTCTTAGGCAGAAGCTCTTCCCTGTGAGGGTGCTGAGGCGCTGGCACAGGGTGCCCAGAGAAGCTGTGGCTGCCCCATCCCTGGCAGTGTTCAAGGCCAGGTTGGACACAGGGGCTTGGAGCAAGTTGCTCTAGTGGAAGGTGTCCCTGCCCGTGGCAGGGGTTGGAAGTGGATGAGCTTTAAGGTCCCTTCCAATGCAACCCAAACATTCTGTGATTCTGTGATTCTATGACAGTAAGTTATGTGTGATATTTTTCTCAGTCCCTGAAATGGCACCTTCACAACAAGGGCTGGGGACATTACGGTTATCTTCATGTGATGCCCTCCCAGCTAGTGGCTGTGTCTCCTTGAGGGACTCCAGGCCAGTCAGAAGGCTCTCCATAAGCCCCTCGACTGTTTCCCACCATGTTCTTATCCATCCACATGTGCAGTTACACAAAGAAAGCCTCTGCTACACAGACTACGTGTCTGAGCACCTTTGGCTCAGATACCTCTCAAACCCAAGAAACGGACACGTTATATTAGTGGTAGCATCAGAACTCCACGGCTGAAAGAGGGACGGGATGGAAAAACAGCAGCAACCACTCTGATCTTTACCTTCCCTGAGGAAAGATGTCAGGTGGTGTCTTCTTGTAGAACCAGGAAGCTATAAATGTTGGGTAATAAATCAGTCATGGGATTTAGGGAAGTAAGAGCGATGAGGGAATGTTTCGTATTGACTTACTGAAGGGACAGATTGAGCTGCTGAGCTACACCCTTCAGCGTCTCTGCCTATAAATTGTTGTGCCCTCCTGTATCAGCAGCTCCAAGAAGATGGCTGCCATCATGATCTTCTCTTGGATGGTAATGGTAAGCCTTCAAATTCAAGTGGATGCAGGTAAAGAGTCTCACTTCTGATCACCTTCGTGGCTATATTTTACATCAAGCTAATATTGAGATTAAAGGATAAAAGAGGATTTAGCAGCACAGTTTAGCTCTTTCAAAAACCATGAGCCAGTCAAACCCGTGAGCCAAGCAAATTGATCATTATAGCCATTAATTCAAAATCTTTTCTTGAAACCGCTTAATGCATTTAAATTATTGTTCTCACTGTTTTTTTTTGTGAAGCGCCTGGTAAAGGGAATTCAAGTCAACGTAGTGTAAAGTCAATGATCTAATATTCTGATTCTTTGTGTTTGGATAATGGATGTAAAGACTAATCTCTATTTTCTGGATGAAATGCATGCCTATGTTGAAGTGTGATGTGCTCTTTGAACCATGGGTTTTGTATTTAATTAAGTATGTTGTTAGGGCTAACACATTGGTGTTTAACAAGAGTGCCTTAGATTAAACAAAGTATGGCACATACCCCTGTTCCCTTTATTATTGTCATTATTAGAATGTAATGGGAATTACTGTAATTTTATATTATTCTATTTTCCCATAGTCTAATTCCTAGGCAAGGAATGGATAAAGATTAAAAGTATTTGCCGTTGCTGCTGTCTTTCCATCCATTCCTATTTCAGATATAAGGTCCTGAAATGAACTTCACTTGGATTAATGAACCAAATCAAATAACTAAAAGAAATATCTATTCAGGGCTTTTTCCAGGATCAGGTTTTTGATGGTCTTGTTATTTACTCCCTCCATAAACATTTCAGGTGCAATTAGTGATATTGAAAACTATGGTGGAATGTTAATATTGAGTTGGAAAGTACTGTTTAATCCTTTCATTTCCATCTAATTAATCTGGATTTAAAGCCTTGCATGCATGAGGAGTAGTGTGGTGGGATGTGTCAGAAGGCAGTCAGAAAACTGCCTTTTCTGAAGGACAGTCCCCCAGTTAGAGTGGACTTGTACCATAGAATCCTGGAATGGTTTGTGTTGGAAGGGACCTTAAAGCTCACCCAGTTCCAACCCGTGCCATGGGCAGGGACACCTTCCACTAGAGCAGCTTGCTCCAAGCCCCTGTGTCCAACCTGCCCTTGAACACTGCCAGGGATGGGGCAGCCACAGCTTCTCTGGGCACCCTGTGCCAGCGCCTCAGCACCCTCACAGGGAAGAGCTTCTGCCTAATGTCTAATCTAAATCTCCCCTCTTACCAGTGCATGCCCCCTGCCAACGGATGCCTACAGCCTTCTGAAATACAGTGTTCAATATCCTGCTTCAACAAGGACATGGAATTGTCTGAATGCAGCTGAGCTGGAATGAGACAATTCCTTAAACCCCTTTGCATAATCCTGTGATGACATTTGGAGAGTTATCAGCCCTGGTGCAGAAGGCTAATGGTGGTCTACGCACGGTCCTTCTGCCAGGGTTTGAATAACCCCACAAAGCCTTATCTCAGAAAACCTAAATCTCTAGATTTTAGATGAGATCACCTTTCTTGGCCTGCCAGAGCCCTGTCCCATGGGACAGCTTCAATCTGTTGGTGCCACCTGGAGGGCTCTCCATCAAGTGTCCTGTGCAGGACACTTAGCAGGGAAAACCCTTCTCTGACCCGGAGTCTGTGTCACCAGCTGTGGTCAGCAGCAAGGTATGGAAGAAATCAGTGGTGTTGGAAGGTGACGGGGACAAGAGTAGCCTACATGTGGTGGGAACGTGAGCAAAACCTGTCACAGGTAGCTTTTGGAGACCCCCTGCCTGCAGCTGTGTAGAATGAAGGAAGACAATGGGATGTGCAGATCCTGTCACTGGCTTTGCTCTGACCATCTCCCCAGATAGATAGCTGTCATCTTCATTTCTGTTAAGAGCTTTGGGTAACTTTGCTGTTCTTGGTATGGAAAAAGGGAGGAGGAGGCAGTTGTTCACAGCCTTTTCTCATGTAAGAAGTAAAGCCATCAATTTCTGATCAGATCAGGTAAAACCATCAAGAGACATCAAGCAAACAGAGAGAGGCTCTTCTCACTTCAAAGGCACCTGAGCCTCTCTGGGCCAGCTGCAGGTTTTGGTGGGTTCACAAAGAGATTTGGTGATTAAAAGAGGAGAAAAGCTGCTGAGGTTTACTAAAATAGAAAGAAACCTGGATCTGAAGTTTGTCAGCTGCAAATTGCTATAGGCTGAGACAGCGTTTGAGGAAGTTTCCAATCATATTTGCCTTATTGACTTCCCCATATGGCATCATGTGTGGTTTTTATTCTTCTCCAGCAGAAACTACAAGCGCAGCACCCCCAACAACCCCAACAACACTTGAGACCACTACTTGTAAGTAGGATTTATCATATTTTTACTTTATATGATAGTGATAGCTTTATATTGTTACTATTGTATTCATTCTTGGGAAGAAATCTGTATGATTAAAAAGCTCATATTTTTCTTCATACTGGGACTGGATGTGAGTACGATATAATTTGGGAGCTGGGATTTCAGGGGTGGCTTTGCCTGCATCCTTGCTAGAAAGAAAATGATCTTCTGGTTTTTATGCCCTTCACTGGGGACTTAACTGGACTCACTGGGGAAAGGGTAAAGCACATTGATGGTTCCCAAAAGATTTGTCCTAATTTGCTTGCTCTCCATGTGTTTTTCCTCTGCTTCTTCTCCTCCACAGATGGAGTCATAGTTGATGGTGAGTCTGTCTGCCAGGGACTTCATCATGGCCCCAGGCATGGGGATGTACACCCTTACTGCTGCCCCAGCCTCCCTGTCACCCACTATGACACCCTGAGAAGGTGCTGCTGGCTCCGGGTTGTGCTGTTGGGTGTTGGGGGCAGCCATGACCAGGGAGGATGTGGGAGCCTCCTGTCCAAACAATATCACTGCCTGGAACCAGAGCACTGCTGTCCTGACCAAGGGTTTTCTGTCTCTCACAGAGGTGTTCCTGCAGCTGACTGATGGGCCCAACAGATGTGCAGGCAACGTGGAAGTCTTCTTTCTTGAAAGCTGGGGTAAAGTGTGTGGGTACCTGTGGGACATGCAAGATGCTGAGGTGGTGTGCAGGCAGCTTGGCTGTGGCTCACCTCTTAGTGTGATGGAGTATTTCCCTTCCTACTCGTACCAGTACATGGTGACGGAGGTGGATTGTGATGGCTCTGAAGACTATCTGTGGCACTGCCCTTTCAGCGAATCCTACTCTGACTGTTATCGTGGGGCAGCTTCTGTCATATGCTCAGGTAGGTTTATGCTTTTTGATGGCTGAAGAAAACCCATCTGGAGTTCATGTGAGGCTGAGCAGTCTGCTCAGATCTTACTCCATGCTCTGGAAGGTGACAGTGGGTCACGGGTCCATGTCCCTACACAGGGGCATGTGTTTTAGACAGAGCACTGTACCTGTACTTGCAGACTGTGCTTGGGAGAGCTGGGATTCAGGTAACAGCTCACACTTGGAGCAGAGTGTGAGGGGTGGGGTGGTTTTGAGCCAGGCCACTCTCCCCACCGGTCCCTCTGTAGCTCTCCATGAGCAAATAGCATGTGCTATAGCAGGGTCTGTTGTGATAGGGTAAGGGGTGATGGATTTAAACTAAAAGAGGGAGATACAGGCTGGATGTGAGGAAAAAATTCTTGCAATGAGAGCAGCAAAACACTGGCACAGGTTGCCCAGAAAGGTGGTAGAGCTCCATCCTTGGAGACATTCAAGGACAGGCTGGATGTGGTTCTGGGCAACCTGACCTAGTTGAAGATGTCCCTCCTCTTGGCAGGGGGTTGGACTGGATGAGCTTTGAAGGTCCCTTCCAACCCAAACTATTGCATGATTCTATGTGCTCTGAGGGGATCCAAGGGGCCCAAGTGCTTCACACCCTCTGGTTTTCTCCTTCCAGACTCAGGTCTAACAGTGCCTCCAACAACAGGTAACCGGAGATTTCTGTCTGCACACATCTTCTCCTTTGGGTACTCTGCCTCTAGGATGCTCTTATCTCTGTCCCAGCACAAGACCCAAACGTGGGCTGCACTTGCAGACCTTGGGTAAAGTCCATGGTGCTCAAGGAGACGTGGGATCACTTTGTTGTTTCTGAATGGCACTGGGGGGGGGAGTTACTATATGCTGCCTGTGGAGTTTGCCTGCGTGGCGATTTGTATCCCAGTGCCTTATGACCATGGGTTAGACTTTCTGTTTAGATTGTTTCTCTTCTCTGCTAGCCATGTCGTTCTTTTCAGCCTCATCCTTTCAATAGACTTAACTTTCTGCTCAACCTGCAAATGTCTGTGCTGGTAACAAGCTGTTCTTGCTGGAGCTTGGGCCTGGGAGTCTCTGTTGTTGTATTTCGGGGTTGTCTTCCTTTTCTTTGAATGGGATTTCATGGTGAGTATTTATTTTCCTCTAGCACCAGCAGCTACAGTGAGCCCGACAACAATGACCACAAGTTGTAAGTTGAATTTGCCCCCCTTTACATGCTATGTTTAATGCAGGCATGAAACATGACTTTCTAACTTTGCCACCCTCCTGTTCTTGGGATGTCCTTTGTAGGATCCTGTTGAGATCTATTTGTATGTGAACTGTGGGGCTTGGGTTTCATTGTCCTGGGGTTCCCTTTGGAGAGGGGTGATTCCCAGCAGGATGTTCTTTTAGGGCAAAATGCTGCTCACTTCCCTGCTGATGTCCCCCTGCAGCACTGGGTAACTCCAGCTCGACTCCCCATGTGTTGTGGGCCACATTTAGATCCGGAGGGGTTAAGGGGTCTGGTTATCTCCTGCCTCAGGTGTCCCATTGGTTGGTCAGGCCCAACTGATGGGGGTTACTGACCATGATGAGCACAAGCTGTGCTCTGGGCTGGGGGGACACAGGGATGAAGCTTTGGGGCGCAGCTGGGAGATATGGTCTCTTTGTAAAGGGCCATGTCCTTCTCTGATGGCTTCTGGAGATGGGATTCCAAGGGCTCTCTGCCCATCCCCACACTCTGCTCCTTTCCACAGGGCCCAGCTCCTGCGGTGGCTTCCTTCAGGAATTGTCCGGCTTAATCCAGAGCCCGAACTACCCCGACTCCTACCCCGACAGCGCCCACTGCATGTGGCACATACAGCTGTGGGAACTGGATCACAGAGTCCAGCTCCAGTTTTGGGATGTTGAGTGAGTCCGGTGGGATGTGGGGTGTGAGCTAAGGGGTGGCTCCATCCCCATCGTAGTTCCTCGGTTGCCTCTGCCCAAGGACCAGGCTGGGAATGAGGTTGGGTTGCTTTAGCACAGCCTATGGTGCATGGTGCAGGCAGACCCTCCTCTCCCTCCGCAGGCTGGAAGACAGCAGCTGCCAGTACGATGCCATTGAGGTGTATGATGGTGGGTCTCCTGCGGACCCCCTCCTCGGGATGGTTTGCAGGAACAACCATCAAATCTTCACATCATCTGGGCATCAGATGATCGTCCTGTTCCACAGTGACAGCAGTAGAACCCAGAGAGGTTTCCAAGCCTTCTACTACTCATTTCCCACCTCCAGCAGTACCACAGGTAAGACTAGAGCTGTCCTTTACCCTTTGCCAGGGAAGAAGCACAAAATCTTCCTTAAGGATTTTCTGATGGCTCTTGACACCTATGGGCATCCAGACTCTCTTAGCCCCACTGACAGGCGTTTTGGCTCACAGGAATCTACTTGGACAGGGCTGACACCAGACTGCTACCAGAGTGCTGTTCCTTTGCTTGATGGGCAGGGACAGGGGCCCTCTCCACCTCCAACAGTGCTAATACTGAATCACCATTGATTTCTCTGACTTTCTCTGATCCAGAGAAGGGCAACGGGGCTGGTGCATGGCCTCTAGCACAAGTGTGATGGGGAACGGCTGAGGGACCTGGGGGGTTCAGTCTGGAGAAGAGAAGGCTCAGGGGGGACCTGATTGCTGCCTACAACTGCCTGAAAGGAGGATGGAGCCAGGAGGGGCTGGGCTCTGCTCCCAAGGAACAAGGGATGAGACAAGAGGAAACGGCCTCAAGCTGCACCAGGGCGGGTTTAGATGGAGCTGAGGAACAAGTTTCCCGATGACACCGAGCTGTGTGGTTCAGTTGATACCCTGGAGGGAAGGAATGCCATCCAGAGGGACCTTGGACACACTTGTGAGGTGGGCTGATGCCAACCTCATGAGGTTTAACCATGACAAGTGCAAGGTCCTACAGCTGGGTCAGAGCAATCCCAGGCACAGCTACAGGTTGGGCAGAGAAGAGATTCAGAGCAGCCCAAGGAGAAGGACTTGGGGGTGTTGGTTGATGAGAAAATGAACATGAGCCGGCTTCAGTGTGTGCTCGCAGCCCAGAAAGCAACTGTATCCTGGGCTGCATCAAAAGGAGCGTGACCAGCAGGTCGAAGGAGGTGATCCTGCCCCTCTACTCTGCTCTCGTGAGACCTCACCTGGAGCATTGTGTGCAGTTCTGGTGTCCTCAACATAAAAAGGACATGGAACTGTTGGAACAAGTCCAGAGGAGGCCACGAGGATGATCAGGGGACTGGAGCACCTCCTGTATGAAGACAGGCTGAGGAAGTTGGGGCTGTTCAGGCTGGAGAAGAGAAGGCTGCGTGGAGACCTCATAGCAGCCTTCCAGTATCTGAAGGGGACCTATAGGGATGCTGGGGAGGGACTCTTCATTAGGGACTGTAGTGACAGGACAAGGGGTAACGGGTTCAAACTTAAACAGGGGAAGTTTAGATTGGATATAAGGAGGAAATTCTTTCCTGTGAGGGTGGTGAGGCACTGGAATGGGTTGCCCAGGGAGGCTGTGAATGCTCCATCCTTGGCAGTGTTCAAGACCAGGTTGGACGAGGCCTTGGGTGAGATGGTTTAGTGTGAGGTGTTCCTGCCCATGGCAGGGGGGTTGGAACTTGGTGATCTTAAGGTCCTTTCCAACCCTAACTATTCTGTGATTCTATGACTCTATGAATCCCTTCCCCAAAGGGTGCTCAGGCATTGGAACAGGCTGCCCAGGGCAGGGCTGGAGTCACCATCCCTGCAAGGTGTTCACCGTGTACACAAGGCCCTCAGTGCCATGGGTTAGTGGTGGCCTTGGCAGTGCTGGGGAATGGTTGGACTGGATGATCTTGAAGGTCTTCTCCAACCTGGTTGATTTTATGATTCCATGATTTCCTGCAGGCAGAGATATCGCTTGTTTGGGGCACACTCATTGCTGCAGAGGCCAATGTTCCTGCTCATGGCTACTACCTGTTTTCCCAAAATAAAGAGGGCTGACACTCACACGCAGTGCAATGAGCTCCTTTTGGCAGCTGAGGGGCTGTTGAGGGGTGTGTGGCCGCAGTGTCAGTAGCTCCAGCTCAACTGCTGCTGTGCCACTGACCTCGGGTAGGGCTGGAGGGCTGGAGATAGTCTGGTTATCTTCTGCCCCTCCTCAGGGTCATACAATCTCGGCTGAGGTTGGTGTTGCTCTGTCCCGCCAGGTTATGATGCTGACTGTGGGTCTTGGGTTTACATATCCCAGGGTTAACTTTGGGGAGGGCTTACTCTTCACCTTAGGTAAAATGCTGCTTACTCACTTGCTAATTTCTTCCTGCAGTGCCAAGTACCTCCAGCTCAACTCTCCCCATGTTATCAACTACAGGTAGGTCTGGATGGGCTGAGTCATCTGGTTATCTCTTGCTCTGGCTCAGTCATGGAATCACAGGATGGCTGAAGTTGGAAGGTACTTCTGGGAGTCATCTGGATCAATGCCCTTGCTTAAGCCAGGTCACCTAGATCTGGCTGCCCAGGACCATATCCAGGTGGCTTTTGGATGTCTCCAAGGATGGAGAATCCACCACCTCTGTGGGCAACCTGTCACCATCACAGCAAAGCAACGTTTCCTGATCTTCAGCAAGAATATATGCAGAGCATCTGAGATAGGGTCCCCAGATGGGAAGACTCGTGTTTGTTTTGGGACTGTGTGTGTCCAAGTGCAAACAGAGGTTCTGGTTGTAGTCAATGAAAGGAATATTACTGTTCATAATTTGAGGGTATATTCCTCTTCATTTAATACCTGAAGTGATCCCAAAATAGCAGTGCAGGTGATTTCACACTCAGTGTAGTCATTTCTTTGCAGTCAAGCAGTAATCTCACAGGTGCTTAGGAAGCATCATTTTTGACCGCTTCATAAATATTGTTATTCCACTGATTCCTATTTCAGCTGTTTGTTCGAGCACATCATTTGTGCATAGGGCGTATTTTGAAAGGTTAATTTTTCACATAGTAAAGGTTAGCTCAGGGAGGGAAGGAGTATTTCATGTCTGCCAGAAGCTGAAAAGAAAAACAGAAAATCTCTTAGACCTTAGTAGGTCTTTTGTTCATTCCTTAGGTTAAAAGAAGTAAATGTGTACTATTTCTAATTTGGGAGATAAGTCAAAAGACAATTCACACGTTCCTCTCTTCTTGGAGAAGTTTGAGCTTGTACTGAAACGTGTCCTTGAAATCCATTACTTGGTTTTATTTCTAAATGTTCTTCAATCTTAATTCTGCTGTTATTTGATTGGGCTGCAACCTGTCTATAGATAAATTTCATACAATTTTCTGTCTGTGACATGATGCCTTCATGTTTGTGAACTGTATATTTGTCAGTGTTCCTGTTAGCAAACAAAATAATTTGATCTTTTTTGCCCTCCCCTTTGCTTAATAGCTATTGTTATAGAGGTGAACCAGGCCCAGCTGTGACTTTGTAAAGGAACAGCTGACCTCTGGAGGTGCAACCTCCATAACTGTGCAGTTCCATGAAGTGCAGGCATTGAAGAGCAGCATTATAAAAGCTATTCAGTGTGCTTAGCATCTCCTGATCTGCATTCAGATGATATATGAACCTCATACAAAGGCCACTGAGCTGGTAGAAGTCACTGCCTGTAAATTTTAGACTTACAGATTCTACATAGGCACATTCCAAAAGCAACCTTAAATAAAATACGCATCTATTTTTCTTCTGATTTTTTTCTCTGCAGAATATGATTCTTGTGGTGGCTTGCTTTCCTCTCCATCTGGTACATTACAGAGTCCATTTTACCCCAGAAACTATCCCAACAATGCCAACTGTGTTTGGGTAATAGAAGCAAAGAACAATTTCCGTGTCACACTCTCATTTAGAGATGTTCAGTGAGTAAAAATCTATTATTTGGGAAGATGAATGTATGGGATTGTCACCTTGGATTTAATAAGCACAGAGCTGCTTGATTTAAAGGGTTTTTTTCAAAGCTTTTAGTACATCTGAGATGTACTAAAGATGACGACGCCTTGGGTGAGATGGTTTAGTGTGAGGTGTCCCTGCCCATGGCAGGGGGGTTGGAACTGGATGATCTTAAGGTCCTTTCCAACCCGAACTGTTCTATGATTCTATGATTCTGTGAAAAATGTATTCCTTTTTGTTTATTTGTTCAGCAATGTGGCTGGCATCTAATGAGACAGAAACTGAGGGCTGTAATTTCTGTTCCAAAGATTTGATAATCATAGTAGATAGCAAAATGTACTCTTTTGCTATGAACTCTTAATTTGAGTTAAAAAGATTAAAAAATATATAATAATGAAAAATAATTATGTAACTAAATACCCACATTTTCTCCTCAGGATGGAAGGGGGCAGATGCCTGTCTGACTACGTGGAAGTCTACGATGGGCCACTCCATACTTCTCCTCTCCTTGGGAAATTTTGTTCTGGGTCTTTTCGCACATACACATCTTCCTCGAACCTCCTGACTGTCCGATTTCACAGTAACTCTCGGTACACATACAGAGGGTTTCAGGCTGACTATTATTCCACTCCAGCAGATCAGAGCACTAGTAAGTTCATGTTTAAAGCAGAAAGCTGCTTCTCAACTCTTAGCTAATTCACCGAACTTTAACCTTGTTGTATGATTTCAATAAATCACCCATTTCGTATTACTTTAAACTAGAACTGGAACGTTCCATAGAGATGCAAATGTATGATTTGGATTCTGAACTCCTTCTGCAATATCAGCTGCTTCTGCAAAAGATATTGTTTATTTAACCTCTTTTTGGTCTCTTCAATGAGCTTGTAACATATTTTCCTTGCTATCTCCTAGCACTGCTGTGTTTGCCAGACTACATGCGTGTAGCTGTGAGCAGATACTACCTTCAGTCACACGGCTACTCCGCTTGGAATCTCACCTTGAAGGACCCCTATTGCAAACCCAACATCACGTCCCGCTCTGTTATATTCGAGATACCATACACTCGCTGCGGCACTGTGAGAGAGGTGAGGCTTTAAACGTTCCAACAGAGTGTGCAAATATGATGTGTGTAAAAATTCAAACCAAAGAATGCACTCTGAAAACTGGCACAAATTAAAAGCTACGCTGGGCTCTGCGGGGACTGGAAGTGTCCTGGTGATTATGGGTTGCCTCTCCTGAGGGATAAGCTATATTATATGCCTGTTGTTGCTGCCAGAGCATTCACTTATAGCCTGTTACTGATCTCCTAAGGAATAAAGTGTGGAAGGAAGCAAATACTTTGTATTTTCAAGGTCCCAAGCTGTGTGTGGTGGTTAAAAAGGTCTCAAAGTTTTTACTAAATATGACCAATAGTGTTTTAAACTAGGTTTCATCTTAAATACTGTGCTGGACTTGAACCTTCAGGCATTTAATGTTCAAAGCATTGTGCAGGTTGTATTTTATTCAGTTATGTCTGCCTCTAACGTGGGTAGTTTTCTAGGCCCACATTGTAGCACTGAATATTAAAGGTAGATAAGTGATTCTTATCTTGAGAAGAGAAACTACGAGTTTCAGACTTCTCCACAGCAGACTTTCTGGGAAATAATGCATTTACTGTGCACATTGCTGCAAAGATACAGCAAAGTTTAGAATTCATAACAGGAAACCTGATGATATGAATTAATTTTGCATTTTATCTTTTATGCCAAACAGGGAAACAACGATACAATAACCTATTCCAACGTTATTAGAGGGTCCTCTTCTGGTGCTGTAATCACGAGGAATAAAGATCTTCATCTGCACATCAACTGCAAAATGCTCCAGAACACATGGGCCCGAACGATGTATGCTGTGGAGGACAATTTTGAAGTCAATGAAACTCAGTATGGCAGATACAATGTAAACCTTACGTTCTATCATTCTGCATCCTTCTCACGGCCAGTGAATGACTTCCCATACTCTGTTAACCTGGATCAGAATTTGTTCCTTGAAGCTTACCTGCACAGCTCTGATCCAAACCTGGTGTTATTTGTGGACACCTGTGTGGCATCTCCCACTCCCCACAATTTTACAACACCGACCCATGATATAATCAGGAATGGGTAAGCTTTTATGCATTACAATTACAGATAAAACTGCCTTTGAATCCCTGTATCTCCTTTTTTTTTAATGGAATAGTGTGGATACAGCACACATAAATGTCATTATTGCCATTAATGCTTCTAACTAATTCATGAACATGGACATTTGGGAAAGGGGATGGATTGACCCAAACTATAACATACACTCTCCAGTTTAGAATGACAAACAGGCTAAATGGCTATGGCCAGTTCATTGTGGATTGTTATTATTGAAGAGGTAGTGATGGCATATCTCAGGTAAGGGTGACTTACCTTCAGCAAATCATACAAACCCTAGGTATCTAGACACATGACAGGCTGAGGGGAGGTAACATGGCTCAATGTTGCCAAAGAAGGGTATGTTGCTTTTCCCAATTGCAGGTTTCTGGACCATTTTCCTCATGTTTAACATCCCTTTGCACGTTATGTGTTATATTGCATGTAAATGACTGATTAGTGTATATTCATGACAGTTTTCTTGTTTCTTTTTAGGTGTGCTCGAGATTCTACTTATGCTACATATTATTCACCCTACAGATACATGGTCCGGTTTAAATTCAATGCCTTCCAGTTTGTTCGTCACAATCCACTGGTTTATCTGCAGTGTGAACTAGTGGTGTGCAGGGCCTATGACTATTCCTCCAGATGCTACCAAGGCTGTGTTACTAGGTCTAAGAGAGAGGCAAGCTCTGGCCAAGAGAGTGTGACTGTAGTTGCTGGCCCAATACAGCTGAAGGAAGCCGGTGCTGAGGATAGGAATGAACGTGATGCTAGATAAAACTGCCTCCTTTGACAGATAGCATCTTTAAATGCCAATTTAATCCTGAAAGAAACTATGCTGCTGGATCAGCAGCAGCTCTAGAATGTGCTTACTGACTCATGCCTGTTAAACCCACTTCGCATCAGTTGTCTTCATTTCCGTGTAGCAAAACTGCTACTTCAGCAGCTCTCCAGGGATTCTGATAAAACAGGGCACAGGCAGCTCTGTGTCACAAACCTGCCTCCAAACTGCCTGTGATTTGTCCCTGCTGTGTCTGAAGAGCCAGTCTGAAAGCTTCCCTGAGAGATCCTCTAAGCTCTTTTCTTCCGGGTGAAACTGAAATGGTTAAGTTGTGGCTTAAACCACCTAAACAAGCTCTAACAATATAAACCTGGACCTGGATGTGTCAGTGCAAGAAATGAGTGAGTTCACCTTTCAATCTGGTCTAGTATTCCCTTTTTTTTTCTCCATTTTTGTAATGTTTTGGAGATAACAAGATCAGGGATCAAGTGTAACAAGGTCCTCTCACTTTTCACAGGGCTGGACTTCTTGTCATCCAGGAGAATATGAATTCAGCTCCTGCTCCAACTGATGTTTCTCATGCACCATTTATTACTGCTCCCAGGCAGTTGCTGTTTTCACTCTTGTTGTGTTTCTTCTGAAACATAAAGTGAAGACACTAATTCCACACCAGATCATGTAAGCCTTGTAAATTCCTGCAGCTGATAACATTGGTTGAGTAATTTGATGGATGAATTTCCTTGCATTGACTATTCAAGGTTAAAATGAAAGCACGAAAGGCTTTCTGTGGTAATGGCTTACCTCATGAAAAGAGGTGGGCTTGACATAACAACTTGGTGTTGAAGGAAACCAGAAGACCAGCAGATGTTTTCAGCCCAATAACAACCTTCAAATTAGTTGCCACCTGCAATATTGAGGCTCTCAAACCTTAATGCAGTACCTGAATCATAGAATCGTAGAATGGTTAGGGTTGGAAAGGACCTTAAGATCATCCAGTTCCAACCCCCCTGCCATGGGCAGGGACACCTCACACTAAACCATGTCACCCAAGGCTCTGTCCAACCTGGCCTTGAACACAGCAACAGATGGAGCATTCAAAACCTCCCTGGGCAACCCATTCCAGTGCCTCACCACCCTCACAGGAAAGAACTTCTTCCTTAGATCCAATCTAAACTTCCCCTGTTTAAGTTTGAACCCGTTACCCCTTGTCCTGTCACTACAGTCCCTAATGAAGAGTCCCTCCCCAGCATCCCTAGAGGCCCCCTTCAGACACTGGAAGGCTGCTATGACGTCTCCACGCAGCCTTCTCTTCTCCAGGCTGAACAGCCCCAACTTCCTCAGCCTGTCTTCATAGAGGAGGTGCTCCAGTCCCCTGAGCATCCTCGTGGCCTCCTCTGGACTTGTTCCAACAGTTCCATGTCCTTTTTGTGTTGAGGACACCAGAACTGCACATAATACTCCAGGTGAGGTCTCACGAGAGCAACTTCTGTTCATCCTATACACCTGCCAGAATTTGTAATCATTCAAAAAATTACCTGAAAGCTGTTTTTCTTCTGATTAAACAGAGAAATATAAAGAAAAACCTGACTTAAGCTACAATACATTTTATTTACTTGGAATGTTATTGGCTTAAAAAGAAGTTTTTATATGTATGGTGTTCAAGGAAATTCCAAAGCTAACAGTGTAAGAATTCCTTTTTGAGGTGTAACTTAAACACATCTAAATTACTTAATGCTTTTAATCCTAAAGAAGCCAACCGAACTAAAGGCCTTGATTCCCAAACAAACATATGTCTACAGTGCTAGCCAGTGCTAGTTTTCTTGATTTCCCTACTGATACCATGCAAGGTCTTCCCAAAGATTCCTGAACTGGTAGCCTGGACAGCAGATGTCTAAATTGTGCTGCTCAGCTCTGTGTCTTTTTCAGGAATTTTATCTTCTTTCAGAGCTTAAAAAACAGAAGAATCAAAGGGTTATAATGGAAAAGTTAGGATTACTGCTTTAGCTTTTCTCTGCTCAAGGCCCGAATCATCTTTAACTTTAGTACAAAGGTCGTGGGCCTTGATTTGTCATTTAAAGTAGAACTAGGTTGTTGCTTGTATCTATCATATTTCTTAATACTTCTTATTGCATTTCCTCCTTGCAGAGATCTGAAAGGATCAAACAGTTTAACTTAGCAATGCATAGTTTTAATCATTGAAATCTGCGCCAAAGATGAAATGATCCATTAAAAAACAATTCTTCATATCCCAAATCTAATACGCAGTGCAACATGACCTAGTTTTCTGAGTTGTATGTTCCATTTGCCTGAATCACAAATATAGCAAGATAGAATGCAAACTGCAGTGTGTGCCATTTCTTTTTACTTGATTTTTCCCCACCTAACTGGGCAGATAATTTCTGCCAGTGTGCTCTTTGCACTATGAAGAGTACCCTAGGTGTGATAATCTGAGGCAAGAGGAGCATGGTGTTTGCTAAATGGATGATGGGCAATGACAAATATGAATGCACCTCACCTGTTCCTCCTCCAACTAGGCATTATCAAATGATTTGTAGACAGGGAAAAGGAGTTAGTGAATTTTGCCACACTAGATTAAGTCAATTTCACACCTATATCGCTATATTAGATATTGCACTATGTATTGACATTTAAGAAGGAGCCAAGATAGGTTGTTAAATATTTGAATTAGAAACAAAACTTTGCAAATGTTTAAATAAGCTTTGTGCATAACTTTTCTGCTATGAATTATCTCCAAAAGATTTAGAAATTAGCGAGGCACTTAAATGTTTGCCTTAACCTCTGCAAGATCAGGCCTCCAATACACTTCCCAAACTCCATTCAGAAGATATTTACTGAAGTACTTACCACTCAACTGATGTACTTAGCTCATCAATTTCCCAACAAAGGTATATTTGAGCACCACATACCTGAACCTCCACATTGGAAAACTCCCAAAGGCCAAACCAGGCTGTGCTATGCCTTTCTACAGAGCCTGGCACAGGGGTTTGACCATACCGATGTCAAGGAGTAGGTTTTGTTCTTTAACGTGAAAGCACAACAGTACTCTCCGAGTAAGCCTAAGAAAGTGAGAAAATCTGCCCAATAGACTCCAGGCTGTATTTGCCATTACATAAATCACTGAGAATTAGCATAGAGAAGAGGGTCTAGAAGTTGGCTGTAGCACAATGCATGGGCAGGCACTGGCCACATTGACTACCCAAGTGATCACAGCCTGTTGAAAAGGCTAGGCAAGTCTTAGCTGCCTAACCCAGTCACTTAATACCTTGGAAACAATTCTTTGTTAGGTAAGAGGAATTTTGGATTGGCTTATTTGGCTAAAAAAAAAAATAGAAAAAAAAAGGGTGAAAGGTGGTGAAGTTGCCTTGAAGTAAGGTGATATAAAATATTTTCTTATGGCTTTCATTGACATTCAGTTTTATTCAAGTGATTATAAGCTCAACAGCTATGGTCCAACAACAGAGAGGATCTATAAAGTTGCTTAAAATGCTCTAAAAAGATTCTGCATTGTGTTTGCAAGTTATCTGATATGTCTCATCTCCTCTACAACTTATATCTTCTTGCTGAGGATTTCACTGTGCTGCAACTGCCTTTGGCTTTTGTGTTTCCTGGTTCACGTGAATACAATAACACAATGAATCTCCTCTTGTCAGAAGGATGCATGAGTCATCCCTTAAAAAAGAAAAAGACAATAGCCATTGATTTATTCCACTGTCCCCTTTGTAGCTGCCACCCTACAGTGTAGATAGATTGGTGTAGTTTTGAACTAAGAACCTAGGCTAAGAATAGTAATAATATAAGCTTTTACTGATCTGACAAGAAACCTTGAAAGAGAAATAAACACAAGCCTTTCCAAATGAGAATCAGCAAAGCGCTTAAAGAAAGAATGATTGGAAAAACCTCATGAGAGCAGATGTATTTACTAAGAGCACTTCAATGATTACACGATTTGACCTACAATCTGCGATTTGATACAGAGATGGAGGAGACTCACCAAACATAACCAAGGAAGGGTGGGAAAAACTTCAAAGCTTAGTGCAAATATGACAACGTAAATAAACATCACTATATGTTCATATCTTTTATATTCACTCACAGTATTTAATAGAAGGGAAAATTATGGAGACATTTGGGGTTTTCCTGCAATTATGTAGGCTGTAGTTTCATGATAACATAAATTTATTATAGCTCTTTAACTACTGCACATGCTTTGATCTTAAACCTTAAGTACTTATTAAACTTTCATACAGCTCAGTCCTCAATCTATGTTGCCCTTTAAGCCTCTTCTTTTTCAGAAATATTCCCTGGAAAAATTTCCTATGGCTATACACAATTATCACAATGGTAATGTAAGAAGACAAAAGGCATTGAAGTCTGATTGAGGTTTTTTTCCCTTGGGAAGTTTTGAACATGTTCCAAAGCAAGAGATTGCAACAAGAGCTCAGTTTACAACATTTACAGCTCCAATTATACCTAGGAAGGTTAGTCTTGCTTTCTCCACCTGGATTTGTCTCCATTCATCACCACTTTTTTGGCTCGACCATCCAGCTGTTTTTTTACCCAGCATAAAGTACACTTGTACTATTTTTGAAGCAGCCAGCTTCTCCAGGTGTCAAAGGCTTTACTAAAGTCCAGGTAGACAACATCCACAGCCTTTCCCTCATCCACTAAGTGGGTCATCTTGTCATAGAAGGAGATCAGGTTAGTCAAGTAGGATCTGCCTGGTCAAGTAGGACCAACCCATGTTGACTGGGCCTGATCACCTGGTTGCCCCGTACATGCCACATGATGGCACTCAAAATGATCTGCTCCATCACCTTCCCTGCCACCAAGGTCAGGCTGACAGACCTGTAGTTCTCTGGATCCTCCTTCCAGCCCTTCTTGTAGATGGGTGTCACACTTGCTAACCTCCAGTCAAACTGAGACCTCACCAGTGAGCCAGGACTGCTGATAAATGGTGGGAAATGGCTTGGTGAGCACTTCAGCTAGCTCCTTTTGAGGAACCTTTGCATGGATTCCATCATCCCCATGGACTGCTGTGTATTTTAATGGTGTAGCTGGTCATTGACCATTTTCCTTTAGATTATGGGGCTTCATTCTGATCCTCAGTCCTCTCTTCCAGCACAAGGTGCTGTGAACCCTGAAAACAACTGGTCTTACTATTAAAGGCTGAGGCAAAGAAAGCATTAGAGTACATCAGCCTTTTCCTCATCCTTTATCACTGTTTCCCCACACACATAATAAGGGATGGAGATTCTTCTTAGCCCTCCTTTTGCA